CTATATAAATAAACTGAATTGAATGTTATGATGTAAGGAAATGTCATAGTTAACTAGTTTTAATGGCCATTCTGTTGAAACAGGAAATCTAATTATTTTTTTACAGTCAAGTGGAAATGCCGACTTTATTTTTAAGAAATGCTCAGAGACCCCGCTGCTTCAGGAGGTTACAGGGTCAGTCAGCAAGCTTAAATGCTTCGGTCAAAGAAACTGTTAATGACGTTTTAACCTTTCCTCTTTCAGGTTTGGTCACCTTAGCCAGACTAAGGAAACATGGAGGGAAAACCACACAAAAGAAAAGCTAAGAGAACAAGGAAGGCAGTAAGGGACTTAGCAGACAGCTGTGACCCTCTGAGCTCAGGAAGATGATATAAAGTCCCTCTGCAAACTACCGTAAAAGCATCTAAAGTCCTTCTTTGGTTCATTAACCATCTTAGCCAAATCAATCAATGAGATCCAGGAGAACCGTGTTTTTCTCTGGATGTTCAAACTGCTGCTGACATTAGGAGTGAATGGATGTATTTTATTCTGTGCTGAAGGAAAATGTTCACCTTGGTGAACAATATAGTTTTATCTCATCTTAAAGCATGTACAGTCATTCCTTTCAACACAAAGAAAACATCAGTATAAATGAATATGGATCAAAGTCGTTTTAAACAGAGGTTAACTGAATGCACATTCATCTCTTTTTGCTTTCCTGCAAATACAGAATCGCAAAATGGAGATAAAATAATCCAATTGTGATGAAATAAACTCAATGTTCAGCAGTGAGTGGACCAACATGGACAGCTGACCCCACACCGAGCTGAGCTGCCTTCATCATTCCTTCCATCCTAGGGTGACCAGACGTCCTCTTTTTCCCGGACAGGTCCTACTTTTCAGACCTAAGAAAATGTCCGGGGGGAATTTAAAAATCGTTCAGGATTTTGGTTGTTTATCTTGCGCTCATGAAGCAAACTCTGGACCTTGTTCAGAATCCAGATGACCTCCACAACAGAGTCCTCCTTCCTCTCCATCTCTTGAATGCGGAACTGAAACACTGACATCAGTGAATGCGTTTGCCACAGGTAAATCTCACTGAACTCATCTTCAAAAAACATCTTGATCTGCACTGGTGGCCTGTCCTGGGTCAAAAAGAATGCTTTATTTCCTTTTTTTTAATAAAAAATATCTTCAAAATAAATGAAGGGTTCATTTCAGACACAGAAAACTTTAAGCTGTTTTTCAATAATTTCATTAAAGGTAAATAAACCTCCAGATCCGGAAAGAGAAAGCTGGCCTCAATGAGGAAATGTGTCCAAATAACCTTCCAGGGAAAGACGTGAGGAATGATCATAGAACAGCGTAGAATCTACTGAGGAAATGCAGGTCATCAGCTTCTCATCCAGAAGGACCCAGAATGATGAAACCTTTGGAGGATTCTCAGCAACAGTTAAGCACGGTGGGGGCAGTATGATGAAAACAAGAACATGGGGCTGCCTTTGGTTCTACGGTTTCTATTGATGGGTCCAGCAACACCGATGCGTCAAGAAAGTCATTTAACCGATACAGGAGTAGTTTCTAACTGATTGCTTCGCTAAACTGTGTTTAAAAACGCATCTGTCAACAGGATGCATC